CCTTTAAGGGGAAAGGGGTGATACTGGAAGGGCGCTAAAGGGCATTGGGAGTAAGTTTTCGAGGCTCCATGTACCCAGAGAATTATCTAGGCCCCTACATTATAGTACCCTTATAGACCCTTTATAAGACCCCTTTAAAAGGAACCTTTGAAAAGAACCCTAGTCTAAATATTAAGGCCCCGGTACCAAGGCCCCTCCCATCTCGCAGGCGAAAGCCACTCCGCGATACACCGGCGAGCCAGGGGCCCACACTCTGGTTTAGGGTTTAGGGTTTAGGGTTGGTTTAGGGTTAAGAGCTCAATGTTGGGGTTCTTAGAGTCTGATATGGATAGTTCTCTAAATTAGGGTACGGCACCCTTAGAAACAGGACCCTAAAAGTGACCCTAATTTACGGAGCTGCCTATTTTTGGTGTTTCGATGGTTCTGAGTTTTGGTATGTGGGGGTTTGGGGTCTTGGAGTTTAGGGCGCTGGGTTAGAGTTTTGGAGTGTCTGGGGTACTAGTTCTACTCTTGATACTTTGGGGTTCGGTTTACGCGCTTGACCCTGAAATGCTAAACCCTCAAATCCGAAGCCCTAAATGATTTCAGGGCTCCGTGTTCAAGATCGTAGCGTAGATTTCAGTTAGTAGCTTGCAGGGTAGAGGCTTGGGAGCTGTAGACGGCTGAGTTTAGGGATGTTGAGAAACTAGGGGTTTGGGATATATAGGGTTTTGGGTTTAGAGTTTTTGGTTTCGGTTGGCTGATCCTCAGATTACCTTCGGTTTTGCTGGGGTAAGCCTTGCCAGGGTTGCACATCCCAGCTCCCGACCCTAGCCACACCGACGGGCGCAGTGCAGTAAACCTCTCTTACAGGTTTGTTCACTGTCCAAAAACTTACCAGTCTCTGGATGCCCAAAAGGCATCAGGCTCCATACCTTAAGGTGGGCTGAAAGGCTCAAACTGTGACACTGGAACAAGGGCCGTGATATAGAAGCCCGAGTAATTAGCAACATTATGCCGACGAGTTCTTTATCATAACCATACTATACCCCCCCCAAGCGCGGGTTATTTTTAAATTCTGGTTATCAAGGGCCCTGGAATTACCCGGACTGCTGATCTAAACACTCAAGCTTTCGAGCCCGAGGTAGATCCTCTAACCCTAGCTGCCCTAGCTGAAGTTTCCGCAGACCCCGAAGAACTAACTCTAAACCCATGAGCCTTAATGGCGACTAAGCAAGCTCAGGAACATTGTGATGCAGCTTCTGGAGTTGCCGGCCTTGATCTCAGCCTCGTTGTCCAGCGCTCACTGGAGCACTCCTCTCTCTCTCTCTCTCTCTCTCTCTCTCTCTCTGTTTCTCTCCTTGTCTCGCTCTCATTTCCCTCTCCCTGTCTCTTGGTCTCCTTCCGTTCATATTATTATATACCTCCTATAGACATGTATATATATACATATATATATATATATTCATATATGTATATATGCACCTACATATTCATGGTACAATGTTTTGGAATCACATACCGACTTGCCTACTCTCTGTCTTTTCCCTCTCTGTCGTTCCCTGGCTCTCTCTTCTCTCTCCTTCTCTCTCTTCTCTCTCCTTCTCTCTCCTTCTCTCTCTCTCTCTCTCTCTCTCTCTCTCTCTCTCTCTCTTTGTCTCTCTGTCTCTGTCTCTCCCCCTCCCTCTCTCATTCGGGTGGAGGGTTGGATTTTGGGAGTCGAGTGAAGATTTGCTGGTTCGAGGTCACTAGCTGGCATTCCTTCAACTTTTCACGCGATGAAGGTGCTCCAACAGCTTGCGACTTGCGGTGTGGACGGCAATGTGACTTGTCAGAGCATAATTATAAAACATGTTTATATCAGAGCCTGCGTAAGTTGTAGTACTATTCCTTGCAGTTCCCCATTGGTTGTCATTACAGTGCAATACCTTAAATTCTAATTGGGAAGGCCCCTATGTTATGCGCTGTCATGTCCAAAGTGCAATGAGGGAGGTTTATGTTGGACAGTGAGACATACTAAATTACTATGCATTGTGTTTCAAAGGCTAGTGACTAGTGGCGAGGGCATGTGCTCCGTCCGTCTGTCTGTCTGTCTTTCTGTCTCTCTGTCTCTGTCTGTCTGTCTGTCTGTCTGTCTGTCTGTCTGTCTGTCTGTCTGTCTGTCTGTCTGTCTGTCTGTCTGTCTGTCTGTCTGTCTGTCTGTCTGTCTGTCTGTCTGTCTGTCTGTCTGTCTGTCTGTCTATTGCATGCATATATATATATATACATATAATGCATGTATGTGTGTGTGTGTGTGTGCGCGTGCCGTGCGTGTATGTATGTGTATATTTACATACATGTCTGTATACATGTATATATGTATACATATATATATATATATATATACATATATGTCTATATACATGTATACATCGCAGAAATGCACACATGCACAGCATGCATGTCGACCCTGCCATAGCAGATGCATCCATATAGATACGTAGCTGAACAGACAGAGTGATCGGCAGATAGATAAACAGGTAGATGGATAGGTAGATAGATAGAGAATTAGATGTGTGCACATAAGTGTAAAGCAACCCGTACAGTATAAGTTTTATGTAGACACACGTTTACATGCAGTTGTAATATGTCAGAAACATGTTTGGAGTTAAGACATATGGCCCATATCAGAGTTTCCACAAATTAGGGATACCTCATTTTGGGGTCCTTATAATAAGGATCCTACTATTCAGGGTACAAAATTAGTGTCCTCGGAAACTCCCACATGGCTACGTTCAGAAATATGCGGCTTATCCGTGGCAAGCGGCCTAAACCCTAAACCCTTAAACCCTAAACCCTAAACCCTAAACCGTGCCCGGCAAAGCATCTAGTCGAGGCGCCAAGTTGTGATTTCTGCCTTGAGCTGCCGCTCAGGGTCTTTGAGGGTCTTACTATAGGGGCCGATTATTACAAGTATAGTATAATTATAGGCCCCAAAAGCCTATTCTAACTATTAAGGCCACTTTTGTAATAGTAGGTCCTTTGGTTTCGTTTCGGTGTTAGGCAGGGTCGTAGAGGGTTTAGGTGTAGGGCTTAGGCCCTAGGACTATTGAATCGTGCCGGCGCGGAGCAGGCTGCCAAGTTTGTCCAAGTTTTACCAGCGGGTGCGGTCTCAAGGAACTCTTTTTTACATTCAGGCCGCACAAACTGACGCCATAGCCCTCAATGCAATGAGTTCGTAGAGCCAATTTTTCCTTTCACTGATCGTGCGAGTCTGACAAACACCATAAGTTCGTTACCGCCCGATGACCTGAAGCTGCATACAGGAGTCGGGATCACTACTAAGATTGTTCGCATTGTCGTCCCGAAGATTGTATAGCACCCTTGTATGGTTGAGGGTTTACGGTTTAGGGTCCTGAACCTACTGCGTATCAATCTCATCATCGCTCCAGTAACTGGGAGTTTCCGAAAATTAGGAGTACCCTAATACAGCACCCTAAATAGTAGGATCCTTACTATAAGGACTCCAAAATACGGTACCCCTCTTTTCGGAAACTCGATTCAAGGCACAGGGCTTTTGGGTTTCAGACGTTTTGGTGATGAAGCAGCGGATACCCAGAACTAAAATCCTGAACCCTAAACTCCTAAACCCTGAACCCCTAAGCCCTAAACTCCTAAACCTCAAGCCGACAGAGGAAGCCATTCATCAAGACAGACGGACTTCTTTTGCGTGTAGTTGTTCGTCAGCTCGGCTTCAGACACCAACGTCTCATTTTCCACCTTAGGGTTCAGGGCTTTTAGGGTTGAGGGTTTTGGGTTCGGGGTATAGGGTATAAGACTTAGGGTTTGGGGTTTAGGGTTCATGTTTTCTACCGTGATTCTACAAAAGCTTTTCTTGTCGGAAACACCGGACCACTGAGTGACAAGCACCGTTCCTTTTTGCTGTTTTGGCCTGGGCACTCAAGAATTCTGAGATCCGCCAGAGACCCAAGATGGGTGCCTGAATAATTAGAAGCCGTGCATGTCAAGCCATTTCAACGACTCCGAAGCCACGCAATCACAAAAGGCTAAACCCACCAAGTGCTGCTAACCATCCTGAAGTCCAACCTTAAACTCTAAACCTGCACATTGCAGGCCCTAAGCCCTGATGCCTATGACCCTACCGTAACACCAAAAATCACTAAACAACTTGAGAAATGCTAAGCCGCTGAAAGCCTTTAGCCCAAACTTCGGAGATTGAGCCATGAGCATGGAGCTGGACCGCGCCCAACTAGAAGAGCACTTCGATGTGCTGGCGCTGGAGGCGGGGTCGTGTTATAGCTACCGTAGTGAGTATGATCGTTTTGAAAACAGCGGTTTTGCTCCCGATGGTTTTTCTTGTTTTGAGTGGTGGCGGTTGTGTTCTCGGCTTTTACGTCTTTGGCGATCAATGTGACTACACGACCGTGCCCCTTCGGCTGATTGCTTGCCTTCTTGCTGGCTGAACGGCCGGCCGGCCTGCCTGCTTGCTTGCTCGGCTTGTTGCTTGGGCTGCTTGTTTCGTTGGTTGATTACGATGTTAGCGGTGGTGGTGCTGCTGCTGCTACTGGTGCTGCTGCTGTTGCTGCTGCTGCTGCTGGAAATGGTGCTGGTGGTGGTGCTGCTGCTGATGATGCTGGTGCTTGTGCTGGTGCTGCTCGTGCTGGTGCTGGTGCTGGCAGGACCGGGTTTGACAGTATGATGCTGTGTTGTGAAGCTCAGGGTGACCTGGATGTATGCCGCCCAATCTGAGAGCGCGAACATAGTGTTGCGATGTGGCACCACCAGGAATCATTACAACTTAGATTCAGTTTCTATCGGCGAAGCCAGCTTGACGTCTTGTAGAAAGCTCTACTACTGTTGATGATATAAATCCTGCATTACCTTAAGGTCCCTAGACTATGGGAATTATGGTATACTCCCTATTATGGGTGATGCAGGATTTATATCATCAACCGTATCTCTGGGAGCCTTCCTGCGAATCTGGCGGCTCAGCACTCTCGTGTCCAGCTGTTCGTTTCGCCATGGACCCTCAAGACCGTTACGGCTATGAAGAAGCGCTGTCTGCAAGGATGGTGTTCTACCTCCCAGACCCAGACCCAATCCTGAAGCACCAGATATCCACCGTGCACTTAGATGAGCAGGGCGTTCACGGACACAGCCTAAGTGGTGGGGTGCTGTTCGAGATTCAGCAAAGTCGTTTGCCGGCTGACCTGTTCACTGCTGGAATCTTTGTCATTGTTGGATAACAGACAACATTTTATATGTTTATGGGTACATAAACCCAATAAGGAATCACAACGTAGATTTTTCCAGTCTATCCCAGCCATGAACTAGGAATGCTGTTGGAGCTGATTTCAGAGGAGCTTGGGTGCGAGGCCGGAGTTCTGCTCCGTGATGGCAGCGAGCTATCAACGTCCGACCCTGTCGGTGGAGAAGGGGTTCTAACACTGAAGCAGACAATTCGAGACTGTCGACCCGTCCTGTGCCGAAAGATCGATTGCGACGGCGATCCCTGTTTAGGGGAAGGGGAGGTTCGCCCAGACCTCAGCCATGTCACGGAACCCGTCCAGGCACTAAAGGAGTGGCGAGAGTGGGTGACAAGCTTAGACTACGAAGATGCACCTCATCAGGAGGAGTGTTGGCTGGTCTATACCAAACGCGAAGTCGTGTCCTATGCAGCAGGCAGAGATGAGCCGTTGAAGCCGCTTGGATATTTCCCTCAGGCACCTCGTTGGAAGCTCCCGGCAGGAACAAGGCAGTGGGGAGGTGAAAGAAGTGATGTCTGGAGTACTTGTCTCAAGTTGCCTGTGAGACAACTATTGGATGAGCACGCAGCCTTAACGCTCGACAGGCCGATACCTCGCTACCAGATGATCGTGGACCCCAATCAGTTTGTTCACCAGACACGCGACGGTCCCGTGTGGGTTCCGTGCGAGTTTGATATTTCTACAGATGGCGCTGTGTCATTGGTGGGTGGTATGCGGAGTCATCCGTATCCACAGCTTGCCCAGCATGTTGCCCGTCCGGTCCTCTCTGCAGCTCTGCCCTTGTTGGCGAAATTGCGGCGACCGCAGCTTCTCCTGGATGATCGGCGGCTGCAAGTTGTGTTTAAGGCGCAGCGTATAATTGTTCCAGGAAATGCTGGTGACAACTCGGATGCAGAGTACGTCGGTCTGTGGCACGTCGATGGCCACAGGGAAAACGTAGCTGCTGTCGTCTTGTACTACTACCATGTTGACTCTTCTCTTCGTGGTGGTGATATGGAGTTTTGTGGCCGTGAGCCCATGGATGTTTTGGGCTTCGGCGATTGCAGCAACAACATCGGTGGTTTGGGATCGAGGTCCCTTCGGCAGGCCTTGCGAGGTGCAAGCCAGAGTGACAACTCTTCAGCAGTGCACAACTGTCGGGTTCCAATTGCTGATGGCACTCTCCTGGCGTTTTCGAACTACCAAATGGCGCACCGGGTTCTGAGGCTAAAAAACACCGGTTCGACAGAGGCCTCGCGCGACTTTGTGGCACTTTTTGTCCTAGACCCATCCGCACCGGCCCTCCTGCCCGCAAGAAGCATTCTGGCGGCACCGCACTTGCTGAGACGCACCCTGGCTCCCGTACAGATTTCAGAGTCAGCCATCCAGAACGTGCTGGAGTTCCTGGGAGAGTCGCAAACCGACGAAGTGCGGAAGATACAGCGCAATCGGCTACTGTCAGAGCAGTTGAAGCCATCCGGTGAGTTTGCTTGTGGGGGGAATGTTTATGCCACCGGGAATGGATGCTATACCATGATCGGGTGGCTGCACAACATGCTCGAGGACAGGAGGGGAGGCCGAGCTTACGAGAGTATGAACCCGGAAGGCTTCGCGCGCCTGGCGGCGCTGAATCTGCCTCCCGAGGGCTCCGACCGCGGCCTCTCCGAGGTGCTCTCGCTGCCTACATCAAAGCTGGACGGAAGGCTCAGACAAGTTTCCCCTGACTAGGTCCACAACGATCCTTGCCCATACCCCAAGGGTCCAAGTACCTAATACTCATACACTCTCCGAAATCCTAACCTACATAACTACTATCCTAAACCGGAGTGCCCGATTATTGGGTCCTTTGGACCCTTGGGGATGGTTCTGGGAGGCTGCCAGTTGGATGTCTCGCTTTCGCACAGCGCACGGCGGAAGCCACCACTACAGTGTACAGGCACATCAGACGTCCACTGGTGCTCCAGAATGCATTCCTGGGCACTCTCCCATCACTTTCCGTAATAATGGTGGTGTTTCCGATGATGACCTTGATGGTGATGACGACGAGGATGGTGGAAGTTGTGGGGACAGAGAAGATTTGCACGACAATCATTGTGCTAATGTACTTCTGATCGTGTTCCAGAAGGAACCGAGATTTTAAGTCCCCATGTTTGCAGCGGCTAGTCTCCTTCATGGGTTTCTTGTTGAACTTGACTGAAGTATGCCGGTTAGTCTCTAACACCTAAACCCCAAAGTCCTAAACACACCGTAAGAACCAAGATCCGATACCCCCCAGTCTTAAACCCGAACCTCATCTCCGAAACCCTGCACCACACGTCAGTTCCCTTCTTTCCGGAGTACCATATTGTAAACTCCAAAAAGTTGGAAACCTAATTAAGGACAAATCGTGCTGGGATTCCCTATACTCTGCTCTTAAGGATTGAGGCTACCGGGTTTCCAACTTTTAGGCTTTTGCTGTACTTTGTTCGTTGTTGAACTTGACTAACGATTGATATGGGAGGAGCTAAGGCGCCAGGGATGATGATAACGCCTGTATAATAAGGAGCTAAAGAGCCAAGGGAACCCCCAAAAGCACTGGTTACTCATCCTTAAAACAACCATTATGAACTCAAAGAAACATGCCTTTTTATCGCTGGAAAGTCCGCTACCCGAGCAGCTCCGCAAAGCCAAACCCCTACTTAGAGGCCCAGGGGATTAGGGTTTAGGGTTTGGGGCTTTAGGGTTTAGGATTTAGGTTTTCGGGCTTAGTGTTCAGGGTTGAGGGTTTAATAAGTAGATATATAGGTAGAGTTATAATAAATACTCTAAGTGGAGTTGCCCTAACCCTACTCATAGCCTCTACTTACCGGGGCCCCTGGGCCTCCAGTAGTAGACCTGAACCCCTAAACCCGAAACAACCCAAACCCTCAACCACCTTAGACCCCAAACCACAATAGACCATAAATCCTTAACCTCCCTAAAGCCTAAATCACCTTAAACCCCAAAGGCCAAAACCGCCTTATAAAGCCTAAACCACCTTAAATCCTAAACCCCTTAAATCCTAGAACCGTAAACCACCTTAAATCCTAAACCCCTTAAGCCCATAAAACCGTAAACCACCTTGAATCCTAAACCCCTTCAACCCATAAAACCCAAAGAAGGCCCTCCTCGATCGCCAACCCAGACGTTGGGTTCAAGGGCTTTTTGGGTTTGCGGTTTACATGAAGGGAATTCCAGAAAGTTGGAATATGGTTTCAGGGTAGGATACCTTATAATTCACCATAAAGGGTTTAGGATAATCATATTCCAACTTTCTGGCTTTTACTGTACAGTAGAAGCCCAAAAGTTGGAAACCCAATAGCTTCAGTCCCTAAGACCAATGTATAGGGAATCCCAGCACTATTTGGCCTTAATCCCGTTTCCAACTTTATGGGGTTTACTGTAGGTCTCTCTGGGTCTTAGGATTTAGGGCTTGGGGTCTAGAGGTGTTTGGGTGAAGTGTAGAAGAAGTTCAGGGAACTTGGGGTTTAGGATTTAGGGCATTTGCGGTTCAGTGCCTGTCGCTTAGGGTTTAGGACATGAATTTGTGGTTTAGGGTTTTGGGTTTTGGGTTTATCCGAAACCCATGAAGCACCCATTCATAAACGTTCACGTGGGATATCCCTGCCCTTTTGGCTTACATACCTATAGGACATTATGGGATATTTGAACCTTCTGGTTTTCGCAGGTGCGTTTTTGGGTAGCTTAGACCCTAAACCCTCAACCCTAAACCCCAAACCCTAAACCCTAAACCCTAAACCGTTTACATGTTTATCTAGGACATATGGATTTCGGAGGGCTGTGGATCTAGGGTCTAGGCTTAGGGCAAGTTCGACGCCTGAAAACCATGATGACTTAGAAGCTGCCCCCACCCTGTAGTAGTGGTATAACAGGAATATAATAGGGCCCTAATATAATCCTATATAATCCTTATGGTCACTATTACAGGGTGGGGGCAGCTTCTAGATGATGATTAAAGCATCGATCCCCGAGACACTACCCATAGGCCCCATACTAGTTCCTTTGTGGGATTACCTTATAGGATTCTACATATGAATTCCAAAATAAGGAACTACTATGGTTGATGATATAAATCCTGCACTACCCATAATAAGGAATATACCATAATTCCCATAGTTTAGGGTCCTTAAGGTAATGCAGGATTTATATCATCAACCGTATGGGGCCTATGGGTATTTCCTAAACCCAAAGAAGACGCGTCGAGGTCCCAGCTCGCCGCACTGGTGGCTTCCTGAAGAAGCCGCTGAGGCCTGCTACCGAAATAGCTAGACAGGCTTCTGGGGCATACTTTAGTCTACTTCTAATATAGTCTACTTCTAAAAAGAAACCCTACGGAAATTATTCAGGCTCACCTAAACCCTAGACCCTAAACCTAGGTTACAGACTGGGACTGGTGTGGAGACCTGTGAACCCGACCTAGATCGATGGAGGTTCGGGTTCAGGGAGAAGGTTTGGGGGCTAGGGCTTTAGGGTTTAGGGTTCAGGGAGTTTGGGGTTTAGGGGATTAGGGTTTAGGGTGTAGGGTTTAGAGTTTAGGGTTTAATTAAGGTTTGGGGTTTAGGGGTTGTGGGTTGTAGGGGCTAGCGTCTGGGGTACCACACAAAACTACCAGCGCCTGCTTGTTGGCAGGGCCTGGCTGGAATCCCTGATGTTGAGCTGATGGGCCTGGACGAGTAGCATAAATTAGGTACGGCCCCCATACAGTAAGAGTCTATAATAGGGCTACTATTAAGGTCCTACTATATCTATATTATGGATATTATTTAACAATTATTTAACTATTACTGAGTGGGGGCCGTACCTGAAGCATAAATTTGCAGGCCCACATACATATCCAAAGGCTTGGCGAGGAAGTTCATGGTTAGTTCCGGTTTGTGTCTTGGTTTGGCATCAGGCCTATGTGTACAGGTTGATGACACCGTTGGGAACTATTGCGCTATCAATCTTCCTAAGTCTGCGTAGAGAGAAGAATGATATACGAAGAGATATCCGAATGGATAGTTTCTGGTCACCAATATGGGGGTTTCCGAAAATAGGGGACCCCAATCTAGCACCCTAAACTGTAGGATCCTTATTATAAGGACCCCCCAAAGGAATTCAGGTACCCCTCATTTTCGGAAGCTCCGATATGTGTACAACGCATGCCCCTGATGCCAGGGCGAGAGGATGAAACGGATTTTTTCCACAACAAACCCTTAACACCCCCTTACACCATTAATCCCTAAACCCCAAACCCATAAACCCTAAACACCCCTTGAACCCTAGACCCCAGTTAAAGCCCCAAAAAGAGGCAAGTGCACATCCGGGCATTGGGCTCCACACCGGCTTTAGATGCAGATGAGGTTTTTTTTGGACCAGATGACCTTCAAAAGGCACCTTTGTCCCTATACCATGAACACCTAGCCTATATTGTATCTGAATCTGAACCTTAAGCCCTTTTAGAATAATTTCGTCCTTAAGGTTGTTCGTGTTAGGGTCACATGGCGCAACCGTAGAACTCTTCACGGTGCTCGGCAGCTGCATTGAGCCGGTATAGCAACCCCGCTGATGGGCAGGGGTACAGTCCTTCTTCAAACTAATATATACTCACACACAGCTTTCCTAGAATGACCCTTGGTCGGACATGCTTCCGGAAACAATATGCTTGCTTCAGCACGTTAACTGCTTGTGATGTTCTTTAGGTGAACCGGGTGGTTTTCGTTGGATTTACAATTCATTTGCCGTAGCTACTTTCGGAGCTCGAACCCTGAGCCCTAGACGGTTGGCAGTGATCTTTGACTTCGTGCCAATGGCCATGTGGGGGGGAAGGGTCTCGGGTTTTTCGGGTCCCCAGGGTCTTAAAGAGTTTAGGTTTTAGGGTTTAGGGTTTAGGGGTTTAGGGTTTAGGTTTAATTTAGGGTCTCAGGCGATGGAACATAAAATCGTGCCATCACGGCACACGTTCCCATTCCACCCGAGGCTTGGGCATTTAATTAGTTGCTAGGATGCCCGGTAGTACCCTTATTCCCTTTTTGTAGCCTGAAAGGGGTCCCTATATAGGTACTTTAAGGCCTCAGTATATACTATATGGGCACATGGAGCCTTAGGTTTCATCCACAAATGCGAGGCTATCGGCCATGACACGGATCCATCACAACCTGAAGCCCCAGCTCTCAATGAATTCGTAGAGCCACCTGGCCCTTTAGCCCTATAGGGTTTAGGGTTTAGGGTTTAGATGATTCTTACAAGCACCATCGTACAAACCGCAGGACTCCAGAAGCCTTGACCACATTAGTATCCCTGCCTTGTTCCTGTTAAACCCAGACCTTCCAAAATCCCTTAATTAAGGAATATACCTTAAATTATAGTAGAGTCCCTATTATAATTTAAGGTATATTCCTTAATTAAGGGATTTTGGAAGGTCTGGGTATTCTAAGTCTCATAATCGCTGCGCCTGTTAGCGGCAGTCTCAGTGTTGTTGCAGGGTATTCAAGGCGCAGGGCTCCGGGATTTCAGACGTTTTGGTGATGAAGCAGCGGACACCTAAAACCCTAACCCCAAATCCCTAAGCCCTAAATCCCTAAACCCTAAACCACAAAAACCCTAAATTCCTAAACCCTAAACCCGAAACCCCTAAGCCTTAAACTCCTAAACCTTTAGCCTGACAGAGGAATCCCACCAGCTAGGGCATAGGCGCTTGACATCTCGGCTGAACCAAAAGTCTCATCCTCCACCTTCGGATTTAGGGTTTAGGATATACGGTTTAAGGTTTAGGGTAGGGTTCAGGGTTTAGGGTTTAGGGTTCAGGGTTTAGGGTTTAGGATGTAGGGTTTAGGGTTTAGAGTTTAGGGTTCAGGGTTTAGGGTTTAGGATGTAGGGTTTAGGGTTTAGGGTTTAGGGTAGGGTTTAGGGTTAAGGATTTACAGTTTAGGGTTTAGGCTTGCAGGGTTCTATTGAAGTTTTTGACCATTAGGAAACACCGGACCCCTGAGTGCTGAGCACAGCTCCTCCTCGGCTGCTTTGCCTGGGCAGCCATAAATGTTGAGATCATTCAGAAACGCAAGATAGGGGTGTGAATAATAGCTGGACAAACAAGATAGTATATAGTGCTTGCTAAGCCGTTTCACAAACTCCGAGGCCATGCATGTTGTACAAAAAGAGCTCAACCCACCAAGCCCCCAAATTATCCTTAGACACCGCCCTAAACTCTGAACCTACACACTCGAAGCGGTCAGACCCGGGCACCAAAAAAACCTAAACACCTGAAATCCTAAACCGCTGAAAGCTTTGAGCCCGAAACAACGGAGATTATACAGCCATGAGCATGGAGCTGGACCGAGCCCAACTGGAAGAGCAATTCGATGTGCTGGCGCTGGAGGCGGGGTCGTGGTAGTTTTGCTAGTTTTTTCTGACATACTTGTCGTGCATACCGTGCTACGTGTGAAGCTGCTTGTTTCCGTGGCGTGTTTAAGCTGGTTGATGACGACCACGATGGTAACAGCGGTGGTGATGGTGGTGTTGATGCTCGTACCGGTGCCATGGCATCCAGGACTGGGTGTGACAGTACGATGCTATTTTGTGAAACTGAGGGTGACCAGGATGTATACTGCCCATCGTGAGCAAGAGCAGAGTGTTGTGGTGCCACGAAGAATCATTACAAGTCTCTATGCCCTAGTGCGCATCCAGCTCTTCGTTTCGCCATGGACCCTCACGACCGCTACGGCTATGAACAGGCGCTGTCTGCGAGGATGGAGAAGATCGACTATGAAGATGAGGACTATGGAGTATATGGCTTCTGGCCCTACAATTTCCCAGACCCAATCCTCAGGGAGCAAATATCCACGCTGCACTTGGATGAACACGGCATTCATGGCCACAGACTAAGTGGCGAGGTGTTGTTCGAGATTCAGCAGAGTCGTCCGCAGCCTGAGCTGTTCACTGCTGGAATGTTGTTGGAGCTGATTGAAGAGGAGACAGGGTGCCAGGGCGGAGTTCTGCTCCGTGATGGCAGCGAGCTATCAATGTCCGACCCTGTCGGTGGAGAAGGGGTTCTGACACTGAAGCAGACAATTCGAGACTGTCGACCCGTCCTGTGCCGAAAGACCGATTGCGATCGCTGTGCTTTGGGAGAAGGGGGGTTTCGCCCAGACCTCAGCGATGTCACGGAACCCGTCCAGGCACTAAAGGAGTGGCGGACATGGGTGACAGGCTCGACAGAAACGGCGGGTAGACCTCGTCAGAACGAGTTTGTGCTGGTCTATACCAAATACGAAGTCGTAGCCTATCAACAAAGCGATAGCGATGATGGAAAGCCGTTGAAGCCGTTCGGATACTTCCCGCAGGCACCTCTTTGGAAGCTCCCGGCAGGAACAAGGCGATGGGGAGGTGCCAGAAGTGACGTTTGGAGTACTTGCCTAAAGTTGCCTGTGAGACAGCTATTGGATGAGCATGCAGCCTTAACAGCCGACAGGCCGATACCACGCTACCAGATGATCGTGGATCCCAACCAGTTCGTTCACGAGACGTTTGTGGGTCCCATGTGGGTGCCGTGCGAGTTTGATATTTCTGCAGATGGCACTCCATCATTGGTGGGTGGTGCGCGAAGTCATGCGTATCCACACCTTGCCCAGCATGCTGCCCTTCCGGTCCTTTCTGCAGCCCTGCCCTTGTTGGCGAAGCTGCGGCGACCGCAGCTTCTCCTGGATGATCGGCGGCTGCAAGTTGTGTTCAAGGCACAGCGCATAATTGTTCCAGGAAGGAGGGGTGACAACTCGGATGCAGAGTACGTCGGTCTGTGGCATGTCGATGGGCTCAGAGAAAACGTAGCTGCTGTCGTGTTGTACTACTACCATGTTGACTCTTCTCTTCGTGGTGGTGACATGGAGTTCTGTGGCCGTGAGCCCATGGATGTGTTGGGCTGGGGCGACTGCACCAATAACGTCAAAGGTTTGGGATCGGAGTCCCTTCGGCAGGCCTTGCGAGGTGGAGGCACGAGTGACAAGTCTGCAGCGGTGCACAGCTGTCGAGTTCCTATTGGTCAGGGCACTCTTCTGGTGTTTTCCAACTACCAAATGGCGCACCGGGTTCTGAGGCTAAGAAACACCGGTTCGACAGAGGCCTCGCGAGACTTTGTGGCACTGTTTGTCCTGGACCCGTCCGCGCCGGCCCTCCTGCCCGCAAGAAGCATTCTGGCGGCGCCGCACTTGCTGAGACGGACCTTGGCTCCCGTACAGATTTCAGAGTCAGCCATCCAGAACGTGCTGGAGTTCCTGGGCGTCTCGCAAACCGACGTCGTGCGGAAGATACGGCGCAATCAGCTACTGTCAGAGCAGTTGAAGCCATCCGGGTATTTCGATTGTCAGGGGAATGTTTATGCCACCGGGAACGGATGCTTTACCATGATCGGGTGGCTGCCCAACGTGCTCGAGGACAATGAAGGCTTCGCGCGCCTGACGGCGCTGAATCTGCCTCGCAGTGAAGAACCCTGGATTATGAATCCGGAAGGCTTCGCGCGCCTGGCAGCGCTGAATCTGCGTCCCGAGGGTTCCGACCGCGGCCTTTCCGAGGTGCTCTCGCTGCCTTCAGCAGAGCTGCAGCAAAGGCTCGAGGCAGCTGGAGGGCCGCGCATAGAAGTCAGGAAGCAAGATCCCATGGGCCGCTCTGAGGAAAGGGGGACGCACACACAGGCGGCAACGGCAAAGGAAAGGGAGAAGGACACAAACGCGGCAAAGGCAAAGGAAAGGAAGAAGCAGACAAAGACCGTCAAGTATGGACGAAAGGGAAGGCTTTGACAAGTTTCCCCTGAGAAGTTTCATGAAGAGAGCGACTAGGTCCAGAACAATCCTTGCCCATAGCTCCGAGAGGCTTCAAGCTTGATGCATTTTCACACAGCACACGGCGGAAGCCACCACTACAGTGTACAGGCACATCAGACTTCCACCGGTGCTCAAAAGTCCATGCGATGGCGCTATCCGATCACTGTCCGTCGTAGTGGTGGTGTTTCCGATGATGACCTTGATGATGGTGATGATGATGACAATGACGAGTATGGTTGAAATTGTGAGGGCGCAGAAGGTATGTGCGACAACGTATGGGTGGTTGTCAAAATTAGGGTCGCTTTTCAGGTCCCTATGATAGTACGGCACCTATTATGTAGCTACTATTTGCTTAAGAAACCACCAAAAAATAAAAATAATAATCCCTATATTACCCCCATAAGGAATAGATTTGTTTATTTCTTGGGGGTTCTTAAGCAAATAGTAGGTAGGGTACCCCAACAAGGGACCCTAATTTTGACAACCACCCAGATGCTGATCGTGTTCAGGTGGAGAGGACCGAAGCTCCAGGTCCCCATTTCTGGAGCTACCGACTTTGGGTTTAGGGTTTTTGGGGGGGTTTAGGACGGTTTAGGGTTTAGGGTTTTTTTGGGGGTTTAGGACGGTTTAGGGTTTAGGGTTTTTGGGTTTAGGACGGTTTAGGGTTTTTGGGTTTAGGACGGTTTAGGGTTTTTTGGGGGTTTAGGACGGTTTAGGGTTTTTGGGTTTTTGGGGGTTTAGGACGGTTTAGGGTTTAGGGTTTTTGGGGGTTTAGGACGGTTTAGGGTTTAGGGTTTTTGGGTTTAGGACGGTTTAGGGTTTAGGGTTTTTGGGTTTAGGGTTTGAAGTTTAGGGTTTTGGGTTTAAGGTTAGGGTTTAGGGTCTCCTGCAAGAGTTTCTTGTTGAGCTTGATCGAAGGTATACCGGTTAGTCCCTAACGCCTAAACCCCAAAGTACTAAGCACTGCATAAAGATTCAATATCCGATACTCCCGAACCGAAACGAAATTCAAGAAACATGCCTTTTTTCTCCCTGGCTGTTTCAAAGTCCCCGCTCCCAGAGCAACTCAAAGCGCGTTCCTTTGAGCTCTCAGCCCAAAGCAAAGCTAAACCCAAAGAAGCCCCCTAAACCCGAAAACCTTAAACCCGAAACCACCTAAAGCCCCAAATCACCTTAAACCCGAAGCCCCTCACCGTGAAACCGCTAAATGCCCAAAGAATGCCAACCCAGACCCCTAGGATGAAGGTCTCGTTGGGTTTGGGGTTTAGAGCTCTTTGGGTTTTAGGATTTCGGTGGTTCAGGGAATTTGGGTTTTAGGCTTCAGGGGATTTGGAGCTTAGGGCAGTTCAGGGTTTGGAGAAAGTGGGGGTTTTAGGGTTTAGGGAAGTTGGGATTTCGGATTCATAGCATCTGGGGTTCAGGGTTTCGGGCATTTGGAGTTTAGGGTGTAGGGAATTTCGTGGTTTAGGGTTTAAGGAATTTGTGGTATAGCTTTTGGGTTTATCATAAGCCCAAACCCTAAACCCTAAACCCTAAACCCTAAACCCTAAACCCTAAACCCTAAACCATAAAGACAGCACCCAGGCATAAACTTTCAGGTGGGATATCCCGACCCTTTGGGCTTCCCTAGCTAGGGCATCATGAGATATGGGGGGTTTCCGAAAATAAGGGACCCTAATGTAGTACCCTAAATAGTAGGATCCCTATTATAAGGATCCCAAAATATGGTACCCCTGTTTTCGGAAACCCCCATATCCCAACCTGCTGGTTTTTGTTGTGGCGTTGTTTTTTGATAGCCTGGTTAAGGGTTTCGTTATGTTTGCGACGCTGGGGCTCGGACGGTCCCGAGCCTAGGCTTTGGGCTTATGGGTTGAGAACCTCAAGTTCCATTGTCTGAAAACCTTAGGGGTGCTTAGAAATATTTTTTAGTTTTTTGGTTATTATAATCTCTAAGAAACAGCTAAAACCCTACTTTTTGCAAGGGTTCTAAGTTCAGTATAGAAACCATGATGACTTAAACCCTAAACTGGCGCTAAACCTTAAAACCGTCAAGTCTTGAAGCATCGATCCTCTAAACCCTAAGCCTTAAACCCTAAGACCCTAAACCCTACGACCCCAAACCCTACGGGTGATGATATAAATCCTGCATTACCCATAATAAGATACCATAATTCCCATAGTTTAGGGTCCTTAGGGTCATGCAGGATTTTTATCATCAACCGTAGGACCCTGAACTCCTAAACCCTAAGCCCTAAACTCCTAAGCCCAAAGAAGACATGTCGAGGTCCCGGCTCGCCGCACAGGTGACTTCCTCAAGAAGCCGCTGAGACCTGCTGCGAAAATAATCAGACTAGGCTTCTGGAGACTACCAGAATCTACTTCTAAGAAGGAACCCTAACCCTAAGACTCAAAATCGCCCAAAAGCCTTATGTGGTATGGTCTTTGGGCCCAAGAGCTTTAATATATGAGTCTACTTCTAAAAAGGAACCCTCAGGATAATTATTCAGGCTCTTACACTACATAGTGGGGCTGACCAGCAAACCCGACCTGAGGGTCTAGGGTTTAGAGAGGTCAGGGTTTAGGGATAAGGGTTTGGGGTTTAGGGGTTAGGGTGTGGGATACGACCCAAAAGCCTCACTGGAAACCCTGCCCTAAACACTAAGCCTCATGAACGCCTCTAGACTACCCCGAAACCCTGAACACTAAGCTTCGAACCCCCCCCAAACACCTGAAACGAATCCTTAAATCATGCTCGCTCAGGACTCCGTCATCTCCTTGTGAATTTGAACTCCGCAAAGCTCAGTCCCTAATCCCGGGATAAGGATTTAGGCTGCTTAATAATGAACGGGACTTAATGATTAGAATAGGGCTTGGGGGCCCTTTATACTATAATAATTAATTGGGAACCACCAGAATAGTATAGGTAATTATTTAGGCCCCTTTATTAGGGGTTAGTTTTGAGGGTCTGTTCAGCTGCCACCCAGAGCCCTGCTCTCGATCAGGGCACTAACCAGGTCTAGGTTTAGGGTTTAGGGAGGTTCCATGTCTTGGGTCTGGATTTTGCCACTGCAAACCCGAAACCCTACTTGGGGCTAAGTTGACTGCAAACCCGAAACCCTACTTGGGGCTAAGTTGTGGTGTGTCTTGCATTTTCCCCAAAGGGTCCAAAGGACCCAACAATCAGGTACTCTGTTTTAGGATAGTAGTTATATAGGTTAGGATTTCGGAGATTTTATGATTATCAGGTATTTGGACCCTTGGCTCGGGGTTTAGGCCTGTTCAAAGCAGCACCCTGTGCAGATACTCCCTTTGCCAACCAGGCTTTCGAAAGATCTGCTGAACCTCTCTCGGCGAAAAAACGTAGAGCCCGCGCCTCAAGTCTGATGCTGTAGGATCTCGACTGGCATTTCCGGCTGTAAATTAGGGACCCAAAAAGCACGTGAGCATAAACATTTTATGTGGATATCCCTACTTTTGGGGGTTTCCTTTTGAGGGGGGTTATATTATATGGGATATCCATATCCTAATTTTTGCTTATGTGTTTCTTGGGGGACCTAGTAAAGTTAACATAGCTCTGCATGCAGATCGATGTGGGGCGGTGTGTGACTGTACGTTTTTCCCGTACCTATGCATGCAGAAACGTATATGGGGGTTTCGCAGGATATGGGGCCTTTACGCAGGACCCAAGACAGCAAGCCCGCATGTCTTGATACCTGGAAATAGGGTTGCAAGAAGATGTTCGCCTTCACCAGCGGCATTTTCCTGAGACAAGACCTTCCCAGACCTTCCAAAATCCCTTAATTAAGGAATATGCCTTAAATTATAGTAGAGTCCCTAATATGATTTAAGGTATATTCCTTAATTAAGGGATTTTGGAAGGTCTGGGAAGACCTTATTGGCCCCTTTGAACTGATCGTGGGTCACATTTTCAACCGCCAGCCATTTAGCAAGCCCGTCCCCGATCCCTGGCAAAACCAAACCCTAAGGGTCCATGTACCCATGTAGAGATACATGGGCCCCAAAGTACCCAAATAGGGATTACATTAAGGCCAATGTATATACTATATGAGTACATGGACCCTTAGGGAAATGTATGGACCGACTTATTGGTGACAGTGTATCCTTGTAGCCCCTACATGTCCTTACCCCTAAACCCTCAAGCCTAAAGCCTAGACCGTCATTTAAACAATTCTTCAGCCCATTAGATTACACCCTCTAAAGCCTTTCAAAGACCCCGTCCATGTGATTTGGGTTTTTTCCCTACGTCAGACAGGCCGCTGGCTGGAAATCCTGCCGCGAAGCTAATTCTGCTCGCGAGGACCTTCTTCCCCCAGTTTCTCGGGGTCCTTTAATTTAAGGTTTAGGGTTTAGGGTTTAGAATTTAGGGTTTAGGGTTCTTGGGAGGCTTAAGCTCAGGTAGGGTTTAGGAATTGCGGCTTGGGGGATTACTTGGAGGGTCGGGGGACCTAGTAAGTAGTTAATTAGTGTCCCTATTAAAATACTTATAAGTCTATATAAGAGCTACTTACTAAGTCCCTCGACCCTCCAAGTAGAGTGTGATTGTATATGACATTGGGATGTGGGGCTTCAAGACCCTGTGAAATTCAGAACACCCAAACCCTAGGCCCTGAAGACCTACACCCCAACCCCCATTTGGGTGTAGCCTAGGACCTCGTGTAAACCTTGAACCCTAAACCCTAAACCCATGAAGCCTAAAACTCTGAACCCTTGGACTTCATTGCAGCTGGAAAAGAGCCCTTACAGTAATCAAAAAGACCAAAAGCATGAACCCTAAACCACATATACCCTACAGTTCAACCGAAAAGCCCGTCATGTTTTTTTTTGAAATCGTTTTCGGAGGACCATCAAAAGCGTCTCTGACGTGGCCGAGTCTGACTGGCTTGACGCAGAGCTCCGTGCAGGGGCGGTGCGGCGCCTAATGAGGTTAGGGTTCGTAAGGGCTGTAGAGTGCTAGGCTTGAGCCCAAATACTGTAGTATATACTTCGGCCTTACAGTACTCCCTAGTTGGATACTTTCGGGCCAACGCGTGTTTGGTTCGGGTAAATGGACCCTGAGGCTTGGCAGTTTACATGCATTCATCATCCCTAAACCTAAACCGTATACCGTAAAACCCTAAGCGGTCCGGCAAAAGTAGAAGTTGCAAGCTGAACCCCTCAGACCATGCACCAGAAAGCCAAGTGGGGTTTGAAAAGTTATATCATTAACTGCAAACATTAATCAACCTAAGTGTTAAGGAACCCAGGGATCTGAACAAATATATCAGTAGCCCCAATCATAGATCAACTAGGGCGTAGGGTTTAAGGTATAGTAACGAAGAAACCATTCGAGTCCCCTCTGAATGTTCTACCACAACATGCCCCCAACAACTTTGTCCGATATCATTCCAAAAAGGGCCTTAGAGTAGAAGCCCAAAAGTTGGAAACCCAGTAGCCTCAAACCTTAAGATGTACAGGGAATCCCAGCACAATTTGGCCTAAATCCGGTCTCCAACTTTCTGGGGTTTACTGTAGATATTAGTGTGGGTCAAAATGAGCAGCGCTGACGCCTCGTCATATTGCAGGAACCCAGCATCTACGAGGAAGATGACGACGTGGACGAACACTGTGGTGCTGAAGACGGTGAGAATGGTGATGCTTAGGATTTTCCCAATGTGGTTGCTGTTGCTGTTTGATGAAGTTGATGATGATGGCGGTGATGATGATGATGATGATGATGGTGGTGATGGTGAAGGTGATGGTGATGATGATAAGGATGATGATGATGGTGACGATGGCTGTGGTGCACCTGGTGAAAGGAGTAAGATGACGGCGATGAGAATATTGTCTCCTGTGCTACTGCTGCGCCTGCTGCACCAGCTCCTGCTGCTGCTGCTGCTACTACTACTGTAGGCTGCTTAACGTCGATGCAACTTTCCCCCTGCGTTTCCAATTAACCTGAACCTCTTCATCACGAACCCGATGCCGCATACTTGACGGGCACTTGTGTGCCACAGTTAAGTTGCAGTAAAGCTCCTCATCAAAGTACATCAAAGTAAACAACAAATCAAGTCAGGCAGCGAGCCAGAAGCTATGAAGCAGCTATTACAGAAGCTAGTTCTAGTTGTGTTTGGTGTTTTCTTGGTGTTTAGGTAAGCTGTGGACCCGATTCAGCCCTGCATGGAAGTTGAGGCGAAGGTCACCAGCTTCGGTGTTTGCCTAGGCCAGCTAGTGATGGATGCAGAATGACCAGGAACTTCGATGTAGCAGCGGGTGCTCTGGGATGCAGGTTTCATACAGGGCATCAGAACAGTTGGCAATGTTATTCCGTATAGTCCCGAGCCTATTCCACTGAATTATTGAGGCCACCATGTAGTGGTTTGGGTCATTAGGGGTCTGTGGCTTAGGGTTCAGGGATTACGATTTTCCGTGTTCGTCCAGTCGCGGTGTTTGACTTAGGGTCCAGGACATGCATGTGCTTAGCACCTACTGGTGTCAACGAAGTTCCTGTAGCGGGAGATAAGTGCCTCTCTTACAGTATTCGCTTCGCATAACCCAAGACCGAAAGTCACAGAAACGCTTGTTGTGGATACTTGGAGTATGCAGGCAAGACTCGCAGTCAGCATGCCAGGCTATGACCACTTCACCGCGGAGGAGGTACTCCGGCTCCTTGGCGCTGTTGTGGTTTCAGGCCTTTCTTGCTTTTGGGGGTTTTCCAGAGTTGATAGACAAAGGTGTTACCGGGATTTTGCGAGGGTTAAACGCCATCCCTGTCAGTGCAATTTAAGGGGCTTTGAGTAGAATCTCACCCGTGTTGAGCCACTAGGGCCACTTCCTTGGCTAGACAGGCACTGGCATTTACAATTCCAGTTTCACAGAAGACGAGCCTCGTTCATTCTTGTGGCTCTTTTGGATCTTTAGCGGCTCTGATGGCATGACATGGGCATTTGGGCTTTAGTTCAGTATATTCATAAGTATCAGGAACAAGAAGGAATATGGTAATACTACATATCCCGAAAGCTTTAGGAGTGTGGCTCTTGTTACGTTAGGATCGCCATGTTGCTGCCTCTCTTCAACAGAAACAAGACTTCAGAGGCCAGAGGTCCCCCCGGAACCGCTCACCTGTTTCTGGATAGCAAGCCCTAAGGGTCCATGTACTCATATAATATATACATTGGCCTTAATGTAGTCCCTATTTGGGTACTTTGGGGCCCATGTCTCTACCTGTAAAACCAAAGCGCCCAAAATAATAGGCAACCGTGCCAAATCTTTCGCCTTTACTGAAGTAGCTGCGTAATCTTGCGCCCGCAAATCGTTATGGTCACTGTGCCTGTTATTAGGGTCAAACGAGGATTCTGTCATTATTCTGCATTTGTTCATGCAGCTGCTACAAGTTCATAGCAGGGTTTACAACTTTATGTTGGCTTCTTCTAAAGCCCTATAGCTCATGAATGGTTTATTGTCAGAATAAGTATAGGACTTGCTTAAGAAATGCGGATGTCAACAGCACCTGAGTGCTCGAAGATCGCAGCTTGGAGACCGGCTGGTGAGGGTATTTGACTGGTATATGCTATATAGATTAGGGTAGATGTTTAAAGATCAGGGGTTTCATCAGTTACTGATCGGTTATGTTAGTGAACTTTAAACCTATTCTGTTCTCATTCTTTGTCCTGGTCCCCGACCATCCGTTGAACACAATCAATCCCAATGCTTCGTGGTTCTGTAGACCAGTCCTCCTTATATAGGAAGAGATAAGATCACCCATATCCCCTATATAACCCTAGAAGTGAAGCACAGACTTTTCGTCGCCCATGCTTGCGTTGCTCTTGCCGATCGAGCTCTACCTCGGATGAAGGACTGAATTTCCGGTGTATGTTGATTCCCGAACCTTCCTTCTATTCGCTCTTATGTTTTGGAAAGGACCCGGATGCTTCGTGTCGGCGATGGTGGGCTATCCATATCTGATGGGGGAAACTAGATTGCACTTACTTAGGCTTTGGAGTGACTTGGTGATATACGGGATCACTCTGCACCAGCTAGCCAAGGCAGTGATGATATATTGATCGATCTGGATCGACAGTGCCCTGCCATGTCTTGTATGCAATGTGCAGTTCCTGATGGGCGATTGAGCATTGCACGCTGCGCTTCTTTGTTACTTTTAGGATCGAGACTGAGGGTTTAGGATACGTAAGGGATCCTTTGCAGCCATGTCTAATGGTCGATTGGCTTCCCATCTCGAAAACCTCCCCATCGTGCGGAAAAGGTTCAGAAAGGGAAATTGTTGGGTGAGGGAGCCGGCATCGCATGGGGGAAATTCCCTCCAGACAACTCGGGCCCTGGAGTTGAACTACAGCATCATTCGACGTGTTCTTCTGTGGATGCCGACCTCGAAACTTTCCATCAAAGCCCTCGAGCCCGAGGCCATTAGTATTTCTTCAAAACCCATACATAACGTGAACCCTATAAGGCTCATAAAAAAAACCTTGTATATCTAAAACCTTAAGCCAAATATCTATACAAGCCTGAACAACTCCCCTGCAGGTGAAGCGGCTGTTCAAGAAAATGGGATTCATACCAGAGGACCGCAAGCAAGCTTGGATTGATTCTTGGAGTGTTCGAACTATGATTTCCTTTGCCTTGAAGAGAGCCCGGGATGCGGAGCGACGTGGACAGACTCCCAGGGCTACTTAACTGAATACTGCATCGTCTTCCATACGTGTGCACTATTGTATTTAGATGCCCATGTAACTTGTTATTCAGCTAAGGAAGACTGTGTTCGCAAGCTTTTCGAACTGATCGTCCAGAGGCGAATAGATTGGGTTGCTGCTACCAACACGGATCGACTCTCCGAGGGGGATGAGGAGGAAGGACCGGATGAAGATGCAGAGGATGAGATCGATGAATCCCCGAAGGGTTCTCCTGAGAGGGAACCAGCGGATGCAGAGGAGGAGAGAAAAGGGGAGGAACACGACCAGGAAGACCGGGAGGAAGAGGGAGACGAAGAGGGGGAGGAGGAGGAGGAAAAAGAGGAGGATCCTTGCATCTCGACCGAGCCCTCTTCAAGTATCCATATGCAACAGAAGCGCGAGCAGTTGCAAGCAGTGCAAAGCGAGATTGCAGCTTTGAGGGCTTCACTCGGGGTGTTACTCAGCTTTATTCAGGTTTGCATGTGTGCATGTTCGGAACCCCACCCAAGGCTGTAGTGTACTGATTTGTTTAAGGCCGGCAGCGGTGAACAACATTCGACGATGCTACTTGTCCCAATCAAATAACCAATCCTTCTGCAAGTACTGTTTGACCCCCTGCAATGCGAAGTCTCCCCAATTGAGGTGCCCCGATTACCATCGAGGAGAGCCCCGAACCGGAGCGGAAGCCAGCAGAGGCACCACAAGCGACGCCACGATCCATTCTTCGCCGAACTCGAAGCAAGGTTAATCCTGACCAGGAGGCGATTTGTTGTGTTGCTTCCTGAGCATATGATTATACGGGTTCTGGGTTTTCTGTGATTTCAGGAGACACAAGTTATGAATCCATCCCCGCCCTCGGCTACAAGCACCTCAAGAATGCCTCTTTTGGATCGTGATCTTCCTGCTGTGTCGCAGACGCACATCATGTGTTGCATGTGATCTGTGCTTGTGCGCAAACTTCGTGCATGTGTGTCTAAGGTTCCAAGTGGTGTGCTGGTGACAGCTCAAGATCAGAATACTTTGCGGGCGATGAGACGCCCGGCCAAGAAAGGACGTCGTGCCCATGGGAAGGCAAAAGCGAAAGCGGCCCCGAAGGCGAAAGCTAAGGCGAGAGCAAAAGCTTTCGCCAAGGCGAAGGCAAAAGCAAAGGCAAAAGCAAAGGCAGCGAGCAAAGCAAAAGCGAAGGCATCTGCTAAAGGTATGGCGAAGGCAAAAGCCAGGTCATGCAACGCAGATGTGGCAGCAGCTGCCCCGATGGAGCCTGCGGCTTTGGAGGATGCTGTGGTTCCCAAGGGTCGCGGCCGAGGCCGTGGTAGAGGGCGAGCCACCGAGGATGCTCCCATGGAGAATGCAGTCCATAAGGGTCGTGGCCGAGGACGAGGGCGTGGCAGAGCAGCTGAGGATGCGCCCATGGAGAATGCAGTCCCTAAGGGTCGTGGCAAAGGCAGAGCAGCTGAGGATGCGCCAATGGAGAATGCAGTCCGCAAGGGTCGTGGTCGTGGCAGAGCAGCTGATGGTCCCATGGAGAATGCAGTCCGTAAGGGTCGTGGCAAAGGCAGAGCAGCTGAGGATGCAGCGCCTAAAGGTCGCGGCCGGGGCGGCAGGCGCCCTGCCGCTGAGGATGCTCCGGAGGAGAATGCAGTCTCCAAGGGACGTGGTCGCGCTGTGCGAGCCGTTGCGGGTGCGGGCATGGATGGTGCGAATGCTCGCGAGCTCGGGTGCCCGAAGTGCCGCTATGCGAAGATTGGTTGCTTGAGATGCCGTGATCCCAACTATGTTGGTCGTGGCAGGACCCGTTCCAATGAGCATGCGTGATTCAGACTCTCACCCTCGAGATAACTCGAGTTTTGTGACATGTTTCTATAGGGGTTGCACGAGCAGCCTCTGTACAGTGTCAGTGGTCATCTGCAGGCAGGGTTATCCTTGTGTGCAACCGGGTATATGCACATGTGTCCCTGGATACAAGCATAAATCTCGCACGTGATTCTACACCTTGAAACATGTAGCTTTTCGGGGCCACGTGTGCTTCTGGGGCTTAGCAAATCTGCCGATCTGTAGCCTTCATGTGATCGAAAAATGAACATGCCGAGCATGCTTTGCACGTGTTTCAAAGTCTGTGTGCACGCTCAAAGCCCCCAAGATCGCATGCTTCAGATCCAGCCAAGCTTCGGCCAGGTACTTCGACAGCATCGATGAGCTTGGCGTGGAGGAAGCGGCGACGCCAAGCAGAATCATCAGCAGGTGCTTCCAGCCTCTGCTCGCTGTGTGATGTGGCGCATGCGGTGTGAATAAGACAGACTAGATTGCTTGAGTGCATGATACACAGCAGGTTTGGGAGCATGTCTGATGCAACAGTGTGATGCTTGAAGTCTGAGTCGCAGCCTTCTTTGAGCAGCTCGGTAGCGGACTTTACATATTCCCAGCCATGCTGGGAGCACACAGAATCAGGCTTATCATGCAGCGCCTGATTTCAGTGCGAGCGCCTGCTGTTCCCTGACCCAACTCACGAACTTCGAAGCTAGGCCAGCAAAGGTAGCCGTATTCACCAATCGTACAATCCCAGGTTCTGATCCTAGTGGTCTTCCTCGTTCTGCAGACCGAGAATCTGAATATCCAGGAGGTGGGTCAACAGATCCAGCAGCCAGTTGCATAGCAGAGATATAATGTAAATACCTTGGAGTGGCTTTTCGTGGGATGAGGTTCTGGATGGCTGTGAAGTATGTGCCGGGCTTGGGATGTTGAGCCGAGTCTTACGGGTACATGGACTACGGGTGCCATCGATGGATATTCGATACTGGAAATCCTATGCTCGCTTCCGGCCTACTTGCAACAATCCTCTGGATATGTTGGGTCAGGCTGGCTTCGTGTGCCTAAGCTTTTGAATCCCAGAAATCCCATAAAACTGCTCTATTTTAAACCCGAAACCCCTGCCCTAAAAATCAACATCTCAGGTTGCTGCTACTTCAAGCACTCCGGACGAAACCGGGTGGAGTGTTCCACTTCGGGTTGGTATGCTCGAGCTGGGTATCTCTGTGTAAATACGCCTCCGGCCGACGATTCCTATGTCCTCACGGGGATACTTCTTTGGATTGGGTCGAGGACGGAAATGTTATGGTCTCGAGGCTTCCCGAAATTTCTCTATCATGTTCTGGTCTGATACGAATTATGGATAGGAGAGGGTTTGGGCTACTTCCTTGCAGGTTTTGCCTGGTCGCATGGATGCTGATGGCAAGGGGATGTCACTGGTGCCTGGAGCAACCGGTGTCTTCCTTGATGTACCGCCACAAAAGGTTCCAGGAACTTTGCAAAGCGGTAAAAGTCCCCCGGCCTACGTAATATACACAATATATCATATACATATATATATATATATAGATTTGACACCCCACTATGTATATATATATATATATATAGAATCGAACCCTGTATATAATAATATCTTAAAAGAAGCCAATGACCCCAAACCCGAATTTTGAACCCTGAACTCGCTCTCGAAACCCAGGTATACCGCCAGGCTTTCTGGTTGGGCAAGCTCGGAGCAGCCACGCCGAAGAGGTCGATTCTGTGGAGCTCCTCACGTGCCATTTTGGATTTCCGGAAGTTTGCTCGTTTGTCGAAGCACGAACGAAGAATATGCCGAGGAGATTTGGTCCATCGGTATCAGGATCGAAAGGGAACAGGCCGGTTCACAGGAATGAATAGGAAGCTGAAGCGATCCCAGTATCCCGTCCGCAATCTACATAAAAGCTTCCTAGAAAAAATCAAGACTCAGACTAAATCTTTGGAACCCATCTATAAAGCCTGAAAAATCCACCGCCCAGGCAGTATCCCTTTGGCTTCGCTCTGCGATTTGCGAAGCTCTGGCATTGCTTCGAAGATTCGAAGATTGAATGGAGGCAGGAGCCAGCGCAGGCAGATCGGGGTTCCAGATATCCCATTCCATTCCTGAGCTGTCGTGTGTGTGCGCATACATGTGAAGCTCACGTGTTTGGAGGTCATGGCACTTTGTCATTATGATGATATCAAAGAAGTTATTTATCGAGATGTGCCAAAAGACCTGTGGCATGATGCGAGGATAGGGGAGGTCCTGGAGTATGTGTATGGCAACAAGAATCTGAAGCTCAGCGACGATCAGAAGAGCATGCTGCATGCACTAGCGCAGGACTTTGGTGCTTAGATATGGAAGGCTCTTTCTCGCGAAGCAAACATGGCTGTGCTCTTGTGTGGGAAAGGGTACCTTGTGTTTCTGTACATACTACAGACATGTCCATTATTCTCCACATGAGTGTGTGTGTATATATATATCTTTTTATTCAGATTATATGTCATATAACGGTACTCCTCTCCCTTTCTCTCTGTCTCCCTTGCTCTTTCTCGCTGTCGTGTCAATATCCCTGCTTCTGGTCTAAAGTTTCCCTATGTAAACGCACACACACACACCCACGTGCATGTAAGTCGAGTTGTGTATGTGCAATATGTGTAGATAGGTAGGTATGTGCCAGGAATGTCAATATATATATATATATATATATATTAATATATGTACATATTGTATCTGTCTGTATGTATGCATGTATGTCTGCATACTTATGTGTGTCTACATGCACATGCATGTGTATGTTCATGTATTATGTATATGTATATGTACTGTGTGTATATGCATATGTATATGTGTGTAGGTATGCATGTATGTCTGCATGTATGTATCTATGCGAGTTTGTGGGTGTATCTATGTCTATATATATATATGGATCCTGCTTAGTATCTGTATATATATATATGTATACATATATATATATATACAGATATATGGGCAAGTGTTGACTCGGAATCGTTGCTCTATTGTTGCATGTGTATATATATATATATATACATATACATATAATCGGAAACACGTATATATACCTGTATAAGGTATATAGACACACAGACATGTGCATGCCCAACTCTTCCACATGCTTCCTGGGGATCTTGTGTGAGGGGCTGAGGTCCAGATGGGGCTACAGGGTCCGGGGGTTTCAGGCGACTTCGACACTTTTGTGGGTATTCTCCTATTGGTCTTCAGCTGTGAAGGATAGCTTCGGGTTTGGGAGGGGTTTTCAAAGGAAGGTTGGGGGTTGCGGTTCGTTTGTAGAGCTTGAATACAGTTGGCCAGCTTGGGTGCCGTATTTGGACTGGGTTTGCTTTTGTCTTCTACAGGGCAGGATGGTTTTCTTGAGGTTTTGGAGATTTCAGATCGATTCTCGTTGATTTTAGACTAAAAACGCAGTGCCGTAAAAAAGCGTAAAGTGCCATAAAAACGCGTAAAAGTGCCATAAAAAATCGTAACCCTTAAACCCTCAATTCCAACGCCCTTCCGTGGCCTTGGATCACAGGCTTTTCCAAGTGTTTAACGATGGCGGGTAAGGCCAGGCCCCTACGCCTCCAGACCAGATCTATCAGCTGTGGCACCCTCTACGCTGGACAATCCTTTATGGAGGCCAACGATGTTAAGGAGGAGCCCCGCTTGGATGATCGAGAGAATATTGAAGAGGACTTACGAGTTTCCTAGCTGCATCTCCTATATGTAAACCCTATAAACCCAGAAACTTAATTCCATCCGAGGCAGCCCACGCGATGCTGCAGAGCCTGAAGATGAGGGCTCGCAAGCTTGAGGCTTTGAAGGAGCCAGGGCCCGTTGCTGGATTCGCTGCACCGGTAGACCCTGTTCCTCCTGCCCGGCCTGTTGCCACTCCCGCCCGAACCGAGAAGCCCCAGCGCACACAGCCACCAGTGATGACTGATGCGCAGCCTAGATCATATTCGTTCTGGGAGCAAGCCTACCCCGAAAATTCACAAGAGACAAGGGACCGCCAACCCGAGCACCCACGAGCATCGCCACCGAAGCTTTCGCAAGCTGCCGAACTCACGCACTCAGCTTCGCCACCCAAGCGCCCAAGCACAGCAGAACCCAAGCCTTCAAGCCCAAAGCAGCCCAAGCATTCAGCAGAATCCCAGCATCCCAAGCATTCAGCTACAGACCTCGAGCATTCCACAGAACCGCAGCATCCCGAGCATTCAACTACAGAGCCCGAGCATTCCACAGAACCACAGCATCCCAAGCATTCAACTACAGAGCCCGAGCATTCCACAGAACCGCAGCATTCCCAAGCCCCGGAGCCCGAGAGCTCAGACGACGAGTTGATCATGGATGTAGATTGTGTGTCTAGACAGCATGTTTGCTGAATTCTGAACATTGCAAACTGTTCTCAGCTGTATTTGCCATGATAGTCGTTCTAATAAGATAGTGCAGCCGGCGACTGAGGACTTCAACGAGCTTCGTGACCTTCTCCAGAGTCATCTGGTCAAGCAGGAAGTCCCAGAAGCTCCAATGACGCCAACAGTGTCTTACCTTAACTGGTTTGGAGGTTGCACGCACTCTGTGTGTGTGCGTGTTTGGGTTTCGACTTGTGTGAAATGTTCGGGGGGATCAGGAGCCTGAAGACACTATGCCTGAAGATCCATATTGGGGCGCTGAGCTGCCCGAAGCTGCAAAAGCTTTGGACGGCAGTCCGATCTTGGATGCTGCTACTTCCCCCTCGCCCTGCCGAAAGTTGTTTCACAGCCCCGAAGCCAGCAAAGGTACCCAGGAGCACGGCTACGACAAAAATGCCCCAAGGACTCCATCTATGTTCGCCCCCATATTGCTGAGCCCTGGCTCCCCAGTCAAATCTTTGACAAGGAACAGCCGAGGACGCCGCTCGGAAAGGGCATCCCCAGAGATGTCCCCGAAAGACCCGAAGAACCCAAAGTCCAGCGAAGGTTTGGCTGCAACAAAAGCCACAAGCCCTCGAAACTCCGATGCATCCCTGAAGCCCCATGAGTCAAGCAGAAACAACATGAAGACAGACTCTGCAGCAGCCGGCACAGGGACAAGAAACAGCAGAGGAGAAGCCAGCAGCAGCCCGAGCAAAGCAGAGCTTGCAAAGCCCCGAACAACCCCAAGTAAAGCAAAGCCTCGAAGGCGCAGCAAAACCCCGAAGGAGGCAAAGCGGCGAGAACCCTCCAAAACCCCAAGCAAACCTCGAGAGCCTAGCAGAACCCGTGAGCCCAGCAAAACCCCAAGCAAACATCGAGAGCCCAGCAGAACCCCGAGCAAGCCAAGCCCTAGCAGTGCGAAGTCCGAGACACGCCAGCCCCCTAGCCCATCAGAGAGCTCAAGTCCTTTGTCGAAGAGTGGCAAGAGGAAGAAAGACCCCAAGGCTGCATCTTATTATAGTAAACCGATATAAATAATACCTATATATGTTATATATAGATATATTATCATATATATATATATTCATATTTAGCAAATAAACCCTTAAACCTTGTATACAAACCCTAAAACCCTAAACCACGTAAAACCCTAAACACACAAAACCCAAATCTTTTGTCTATGCCCGGCAGGCCAAAAGAACCAATACGATTCGCATCACCGAACGTGAGTACAAGAACTATGAGGCCACGCTGCGGAGAATGTGCAATCCATCAGCCAAGCGGGGCACGATGCAAGTGAGTATGGATGTGGCTGAACGATGGAAAAACACGAAGACCCGCAAGCAGCTGATTGTGGCTCTGATCAACTGCAAGGGTGACAAAGCTTCTCTACTGCATGACATTTTCCATGCGTGATCATGTTTTGTTTTCCAGAACTATTCAGCTCAGGAGTCCTTCAATCAGCGCATGGAAATTGTGATCCGCAATGTGAAAGAAGGACGTGTGGTCATAGATAGTGGCTTTTACAGCGAGTCTGCGATGAAGACGGAACTGAAGTTTGACAAGCAGCTCAATTCAACTTATTATATAGCTTTGGTATTCCTTGTTCCCCTAAAACCCGAAATCTATGGCCAATGCAATCTTGGCACCCAGGGATCGCATCAAGGCCGTCGTCGCATACTGTACGAAGACCAAGGCCAGGAAGCGGCAGCTCACCAGGCCTTGCAACACATGTTGTTGTTTTCGAAGGGGCTTGGTAGCTTGAGCTGTTGCATAATATATGATTGAAATTGTCTTGCAGGAGGGACAAGTACCAACGCCATATCTTGGAATACTGGATCGATTTGCGGACCAGTGGAAGCTTATCCCGAAGCCACAAGGAGGAATTCTCTCAGTATGTCGAAATCATCGACAACAACACGAGCCTCCCGAATCCTGTGCTCGGCAACGAAGCGTTGCCCTGCTACGACGAGGAAGCTGATGAGGATGATTCCCAGGATACAGGTGATGATGAGGATGAGGAGGAAGATGGAGCCAGCAGCAGCCCGAAAAGCAAGCGCAAAAAATCCAAAAGAAGCCGAACCTCTACTCCCCGAACCAACAAGAAGAAGCGAGCGGAGAAGGAGAAGCAGCAAGAAGTGGAGACCGCTTTGGATGTCTTTTGTCTAACATAGCACATTTCTTTCTATTCGAGTCATTTATAACCAAAAACACACCACAATGCAATCCTATATCCAACCGTAATGTACCCTATATAAAAGGATATAATCAATCCTGAATCAGCTACATGCAGGACATCGAGAAGATTCCTCAGATATTGGGGGAGATTCTCAAGGTGCGCATCAAAGTCGACAAGACTCTCGAGGAGCTGAAGAAGAAGAAGAAGGACCCACAGAGCAAGTCGTCTAGCTGCATTACAGTTTACATCTTTATTCCTTGTTGAGTGTTTCAACTGACCTAAGGGATGGGAAGTTGCTCACCGAGCACGGCGAGCAATTGATGAAATTGCATGATGAGCTTGCAGAGATTCGTGCTGATCACAACGCGAAGGATCCAAGCAAAGAGCCCCTTATCTCATATCATAATGTGTTGTCCTAAGCATATAGTTTGGTTGAGGTCTTTAGGGTTCCCCGTGCCCCCGAGGGCGATGGGAAAGCTGAAGAACGCCCTGGCAACGGTGGAGAAGTTGTGCCCTGCCCGCAGCCCCAAGCAGGCCTGCTTAATGATAAATATGACCCGGCAGCCAGCGCTCATCGCGATATCAGCCCCCTCGGTTTCATGAGGTCGAGTCGAATCACTATGGAAGAGAAGAAGTTGAGGAGGACACCATGAAGCAACCTCATTCTATAGTTCGCTATTTCGTGCAAACCAACCTTCATAAACCCTAAATCCCATCAATAGGTGTTAAACAATCATGTGAAGCCCTCATCTCCGAGGACAGTTCTTCGACCGGTGCCTAAGGCCAAAGCGAAACCGGCCGGGGATTGCGATGATGATGATGAAAGTCCGGATGAGGAAGATGACGGAGCAAAGCCGAAGAAAACTAAGCCTAAGGCTAAAGCGAAAGCTAAGAACGGCAATCCCAAAAAGGGTGCGAACAAGGGGAAGTAGGCTTGCCCCACAGAGCACAACCTGTGAACTTCATAATGTATTTAGCCTATATATAGTATACACAGTATCCGGGCTCCACTAACTCTGGGTTCCCTTGGATGGACCAATCCAAGATGATGGGGAAAGCTCTTCTCACCGCAAGCACAAAAAAAATTGTGCTGTGGCTGCAAGGCTTGGATCATATACATGTATGATCTTATCTCTCAGTTCCCGCGGGGCATGTCATGCGCACATCGCAGTTGAAAAAGGGATCGAGTTGCCTACTTCTATAGAGATCCCATGCACGACTGGAGTCCGATGTGAACCCGAGCTTTGTGCTGCGCAGGTGCCGCAAGTTCTTCTTCTGCTCCGGCACGTCACGGCCCTGCTTCGAAAGCCTTGGCACGTGCTCGTGGAGCAGGGGTTGGGGTTGCTAAAGTTTTATTAGTGATTTAGGGATCTTTCGGATTTGAACCTGAACTCCAACCTTATGTGGAACCATTGTGATGTTAGAATATAAGCCCCAAACCCAAACCTAAAAAAGACTGAAGTATGAGCCCTCTATATCTTAAAACTTTAATTGCCGATGCTCCTTTCCCTGAAGGTTTCTGATCGGCTGCTATGTAGCATTGCTTCTGGTTTCTTAGAGGAATGTGAAGAAGTCGATCTTGATAATGCAGATGATCTTCGAAGTTCGGGACTGCTTCAAGATTTGCACCGGCAGTCGAGGACAAAGCACGAAAACAGCTCCCACAAATCTTTCCAAAAGAGTGGCTTGTCTTGTCCTATCGAGATACATCAGCTGGATGTTGGTCATGACAAGAAGCACCCAGTATTACGGGTGAAGGATTTTCTTCAAGCTTTGGCTGAGAGCAACAAGCTTCCTTTAATGTGGGGCTCTACCAACAACGACTCATATGCTGAAGTGCTGCCGAAATTCTGGAGAAGATGGAAAACCCATGACCCGCAGCACGCTGTCTTCAGTCACCACCGGGGGCACATGGCGCAGGTTCTTCCCTTACAGTTACATGGGGACGAGGGGGAAACGCTGAAAAAAACAGGCGTGATGATATTGAACTGGCAATCACCAATTGGCTTCGGGCTTGCTGGGTCGGATGATTCCCCGTCTGCAATGTCACTCAACTATCTTGGCAACTCCTACGCCACACGCTTCCTCTACACAGTTTGCCATAAGAAGTCTTATGCCAAAGACAAATCATATGTCCTGACTGGCATTGTGCAGGGCCTTGCTGAAGAACTTGTAGATTTATTCTACAATGGCGTAACGCTGAACCTTGGAGGCAAGGAAACGACTTTCTACGCAGCCTTGTTGGGCTTGAAGGGGGATTGGCCAATACAAGCTCGAGTGGGCAATCTTACAAGACACTTCGCTCGGAAAGCTGTGTATAAAGTTTCTGCAGATACGAGTGGCTTCTGCCATCTATGCCGCGCTGGGGAGCAGGGCTACGATGCCAACGATTATAGCCAAAACGCAGCATGGCGAGAGACATTCTTGAAAGTTCCGCCCTGGACTTCCGAAGGTCCCTTGTGTCGCGTGCCGCAGTCCCCGGCGAAGGAGTACATGCACAAGTTTGACATATTCCATACTTTGCACAAGGGCGTCTTTGCTGAGCTTTCTGGAAGTGGGTTGGCGACGTGGCTTCAGGTATGTTTTTTGCACTTTTGGTTGCATACGTAGGTTTTATAATGGATTGGCGACCCAACTTTGGAATCTCATGTTTCAATTCAGGTTCTCATCACCGACTACCATTTGGCAGGTGCCGGCGATATTCCACAGCAGCTTCAGGCAATATATGCTCTGATGGCGAAGCACTGCAAGGACACCGCAACACCACTGCATATGGATGGGCTCACAAGGCATTTGCTGTCATTTCCCGGCGACTATGCATATCCCGTTGGGTGCCTTTGTT